ATTGCAATGCATTGGTTACCACTGCAAGGCAAATTCCGCAAAGCCACCGTAGTTGGTAGATCTCACATGCCTGAGTAGGAAGGGACAGAACATGGTAGCTTTCTTTCTTCCCCTTCCCCCTGCATGTCCCTAATGAAAATGAGTGACACATTATTATTATTTTTGCTATTTCAGAGGCATCTAATTTTTCTGCTTGATCTCATTTAAAAAATAAAGTCCAAGTTGTGGATAATATGCTACCGTTCCCATAACCCCACCAGCCTTCCACTGCTTCTAACCTGAGGAAGGCAGGAGAGGAAATGGCACCCCTCACCTTCCCCTGCTATCAAGGGTTTGGTGAAGAGATCTTACTGTCAGGGGGCTGGGGATGAGTCTGACTTCAGAGTTCATTGTGTGTTTCCTTCCCATTGTGAAAAGTGATAGAAATGGGAAAGCTGGTAGATATGGGGCATGGGGAGAGGGTAGAATTTTTGCATGAGTTGCTTCTGCTACATCATTTTCTTGTAATTTCCTTCACTGTTTATCATGGGCCCACTCATAATAGGTATGAGTCCGAGCTTAAGAAACACTCCTGAGTCTTCCGTTTTTAAGTCACCAGCTCATATCTGGCCTAAGTCATTGGGACCGACAGTTGTAACCACATGGAAGCTCTCCAGTGGCTAATGTAATGTGGTGATACCAATACACTTCCTAGAGAAATCACCATCACATTTGTCCGTCATTGGCATCTTCACCGAAGGCCAAGGGCTGAACAGGCACAAATAACGGATTAACGTCGCCCCTTAGAGAGAGATCCTTTCGGTTCAGATTCAGAGGTGTTGGTGGGGAGTTGTGGGAGAAGGCTGAATGCTACCCATTGTGCATCTCACCTGGGAATGAACTAGAGCTGGTCCGATTTTTTTGAACTTTGAAATGTTGATGAAATTCTGAATGTCAACATTTAAAAACGTGAATAAAGCAGAGAAACTGGGGAAATGTTCACTTCATTTTTTTCCCATTTTTGATTAACTATAGAGCTGGCCTAAAATTAAATTTCTAAATGTAATTTAAAATTTGAATTTTAAAAAAAAACAGGAAAAATATTTGAAAGCATTTTTGCAAATAGTTTCCCCTAAAAAAATAAAAATCTAGGATTAACACAGAATTTCAGCCTGCAGGTCTTTCACCAGCACTGCATTCATGCATTTAAGCACATACAGTGTATATATAAGCAGCACATGTTCTATACATTGGACGTACGTGGCTCATATCCGGCCAAACAGCAGGAGGAGCTCTTTCATATATCATTCCACTCACATAGTGAAACCTAACAGACCTGTGAAACACTGACACCCTTTCTGCATGGCTTCCCCTGAAGTGGAAGAGAGAGGACGGGAATAGCAGAGTTTATTGCAGGTCAGGAATGAAATATATTGACCTAGCTATGACGAAACCCAGAGCAATGACACATAGTTACGAGGGAGAGGTTCTAGGGGTTTGGAATTTAGGAAGCATAACGGAGTTTGGATTTAGGGGACACAATGACCCTCACCTAATTCTTACCAGTGCTATTGGCCCTTCATCTTCAGGAGCAATATAATAGACTGAATTTAACAAAAGGAGCATCCCCCAACCTCTGTGCATATAACTAGACTTGGAAGGATTAGATTTTTAACAGTAAATGTCAGTAAACATCAATTTCACCTTACACACGCAAACCAACAGAAAAATATTTTCATCATTGGTAACTGAAATTTGCAGGTAAGCAAAGTGAGAAAACTTGAGAACTTCTTAGAGTGACAATCCAACGATATAGACTTTTGAATTAGGCTTGTGACAAATGGACTATGCCAGTGGTTCTCAACCAGGGGGTACACAGAGGTCTTCCTGAGAGTACATCAACTCATCTAGATATTTGCCTAAATTTTACAACAGGCTACATAAAAAACACAAGTGAAGTCAGTACAAACTAAAATTTCATACAGACAATGACTGGTTTACACTGATCTATATACTTTACACTGAAATGTAAGTACAATATTTATATTCCAATTGATTTATTTTATAATTATATGGAAAAAATGAGAAAGTCAGCAATTTTTCAGTAATAGTGTGCTGTGACACTTTGTATTTTTATGTCTGATTTTGTAAGCAAGAAGTTTTTAAGTGAGGTGTAACTTGGGGTACACAAGATAAATCAGACTTCTGAAAGGGGTACAGTAGTCTGGAAAGGTTTAGGACCCCTGGACTAGGGAATGAATAGTAAAAAAAAGGTCTGATCTGTTGATTTAAGGATACTTACTTCCTATGTTTTGACATGTGATATTGACAATTTGTGCTTTAATGGTTCATAAAATTTTTACTTTTTGAATCTCAACATCTGCTGTTATTACATAATTTTCTGATATTCCCATAATTCCCACAACTGTGAAAATTTAAATAAAAATCTAAAAAAAGCTTAAAAATAGACATTGATATTATCTGTCAGAATTATCCAAACAAGAAAAATGGAGTTCTGCAAGCCCTACATATAAGCAGTCCTTAATAGCAGTCTTGTGAGAGCAGTTTCTGAGACTGATGCAAGGATAACTACTGCAAAAGGCAGAAGGACACATAGTCTGCCTGGAGCTTTGAGAGGTTTCCAGTTACCTTTCATTATATCAACACCACTTACTTTGCAAAGCACTGTTATCACTCATCGCCATACCCTAATGCTGATACAGGAAACCTTTAATCCATCTCCCCCGTTGGATGAAACCTTCCCAGCACTCAGTTGCAAGATGAAATTGATCCTGGATCCCAGTTAGAGAACAGTAATCCAATAATGCACTGCCATCTCATTATTATCCAGCTTCCATAGCCCACTACAGGACCCTGGCCTCTTCTACTCTGTGTCCTTCATTATGCTGAACAGTTAGGGCAGGAACCTCCCCACATAGGGTCAGTACAGATCTGGCACATGTATGATCAGCTTGTATCTGTCAGGGACTGTTGTCCGTGATGGCAGCATTCAGAGGTTCTTTTCTGGGCTTTCACTGGTCATTCACGAACTTTAGAGTGTGCTGAAGGTGTCAGACCAAAGGATATGTCCCAGGTCACCAGGAGACTTTGATTAATACACAAAGGGCTTGATTTACCGAGTGCCCTCCAGTTCATCAGATACAATTATTTACAGATATAAATGCTACCACTCAGGCATCTAATTACCCATTTGCCCCTGCAGTAAGGCACCTAAATGGCAGCATGTTAATTATGTGTACAAAACTGGAGGTCAACCTTTAGGCCCTTTTAAAAATGTGGGCTCAAGGCTTGATGTTAAGATAAAGAACTAGCAGTTTTACTGAATGTTTCCCACTTTGCTGGAGGTCTGAGCAGAGCTGCCTAATGCTCCCAAAGTGACCTACTGCAGCAACAAGCACTGACTTTTACATAAAACCTGAACTGAATTGTTCGGGAGCTGTTGCTAATTGATGTCCCCTAGACTCCTGGTCAGGAACACAAAGGGGGTAATTTCCAAAACATTATAACTTTATGTTTCTGCAATAGGGTCTAGGGGCACTGCCCTATTCCTTTAAACAAGGGGTTAACAGGAAGTGCTCAACTTCCCCTTCCCCATGTGTTTGTTCCCATGAGCAGGACTATCTGAGTGTCTAATACAGGGAGGAAAGGGAAGATAATGTCTTTGAGAAGGTTAAGTTCCACACTAAGGGTCACAGGACTGGGTTGACCCTCGAGCTGGGGTTTTTATTGTTTGGTTTCTGATTGTAGTTCTTGTCAAAAAACATGTAACCTTTGCTGACTCATTTCACCCCCTGACAGCATAGGTGCTGGAACTAGGAGTGCGGGGCGTGCTGCAGCACCCCCCTGACTTGAAGTGGTTTCCATTATATACAGGGTTTACAGTTGGTTCAATGGCTCTCAGCATCCTCACTATAAAAATTGTTCCAGCACCCCTGCCTGACAGGCTCCAACTGGTTTATTTTCTGACTGGGTATTGAAAGGGTCCCCCTTATCTGCAAGAAGAGTTAAGTTCTCAAGTTTGGACCTTTTGTCACCCAGACCCAAAAGACACACATTCTGACCACCCAAAGCAGAGACCATGGAAGGGCAACAGGAACTCCTCATAAATGCTGCCTTTTGTTGTTGTTGTTGTTGTTGTTAAGATGCATCTGCCATCTTGGTGACTCAAAACAGTTTTAAAACATGACAATACAGACACAAACCTCACAAATTTTGACGAACTACACTATATAAGAGCTATTTAAAAGTACTTATGCTAGCTAACATGAAAGGGAGGTGATGGGTCCATGACTGCCTCTGGCATGGGTAAGAGAGAAAAGGAGAAGAGGAGGGACAGGTATTTATACCCTTTATCCATGGCAGGAGTTCCCAACCTGGGGATCATGACCCAGTGTTCAAGGGTCACCACCGCCTTGTCCATCCCCTATTTCTAAGTAGGAAGGCAGTCAATGTTAGATGGGAAAGAGGCTTTCAAAAGTGTTGGGAGCCAGTGTTTTGTGGATTTCTGGACTCAAGGGACTTCCGCTTGCCAACTAATTACCCACAGCCACATGCCGAGGCAAGCAACTACTAAAATGAGGCTCTATGGGGTGGAGGAGGCAATACATACAGTGGCCTTTCTTTTCCTGAAAATCAGTCACTGAATTTTCTGCCATTCACAGAACATGTTGATACTGCTGTTTCCTGCCTCATGGATTGGTGTCTGATATCCCAGCCTTAAATGCCATCTGAGATCCCACTCCTACTGAGTATCCTGCATTTCTGTTGTTTTCAATGGGAGCAGAAAGATGTTCTGCACATCTTAGGGCAATGCAGGTTCAGGCCCTCAAAGGGTCAGTAATGGTTGGTTAATGGTTGCCGCATCCCAAAGACTGCATCTCAGACGCTATGTATTCTTCTGCCCCAAGAGGAGAAAAGTGAACTTGTGTGAAGTGAAATAAGCAGATCCTGGGGAGCTGCCCTGAATTTTTCTAACCCATGTTCCAATCCTTTCTCCACAGCCACAGGGATTTAAAACCAGAAAACCTACTGCTGGATGAAAAGAACAACATCCGGATAGCAGACTTTGGGATGGCATCACTGCAGGTCGGGGACAGCTTGTTAGAAACCAGCTGTGGGTGAGTGGCTCAGACTGTATAATAGAAATCAGAGATTGGCAGAGACCTCTTGGAACAGCCACTCACTCTCTCTCCCCAAGTAGAGACCTAGTCGGACACATCTAGCTTTGAGCTAACACTTATTTGTAGGACAGAGTGGGGTGTGTGCACACAAGCGTGTGTGCGTGCGTGTGTATGGGGGAGATTATAGATGTATATGCTGTGCAGTATTTCAGTTGTGGTCGCTTACATCAAGCTTGAATTTCCTCAGTATAGTAGAAAATCCATAAGCTATATATAAGATATGTTAACTAGACCAATATTCTCAAAACTGACTAATGATTTAGAGTGCCTCAATTTTTGGAGGCCCAACTTGGAATGCATTAAAGGGGCCTGGTTTTCAGAGGGTGAGTGCTCAATATTTTCTGAAAATCAGGCTCCTTTAAGCAGGGCTCTGGAGCGGAGCCCGCAGAGCAGCTCCGGAGCAGTGGAGCTGCAGGTTCTTGCCTGGAGCTGGAGCGGAGCCGAAGCACAGCTCCAAAGCTCTGCCTTTAAGGTGTCTCTGAGGTGGACCCAAAAACTGAAACACTCAAAATCCACATCACTCCTGAAAATGTTGGTCTGTCTCTTCTTTCACTGGCCATATCATATTCTTGGGGAACTGAAAATTGATAAAACAATAGTGATCATTTTTCAAGAGTGGATTTAAAAAAAAATACCTGGGGAGAAAAAAATTGAAGTGATTTGTAAAGGATTTTGTGTCCTGCTCAGACTGTCTGCTGTACATCCCAGTCTCATCACTTTTTCTTCATCCTCCTCACAGTTTGACTGCTTGGTCACAAACAGCACCAGAGTGGAAGGCAGTTGGGTTTTGCATGGTTACACATAGGGTGGGAATGTAGGATACAAACAATAAATGAGGCAGAAGGTTTTAAAAATCTTTTGCATTGGTTTAATTGTCAGTGGAACAGCTGATTGCTGATCAAATGCATACCATTCAATATGACAGCCTTTCTAGGAAGTTCCAAGACACTAAAGCAGCCAAAAATAAACACTAAAAATTATTAAAAATAGAAACTGAATACCAGGTTCCCTAAATACTCTTCTTAAATCACTGAAACACATAAGGATGAGATCCTCCATTTTTCAGGCTTCTCTAAATGGTAGTGTTTGTAGTGACTCAACTGTAGATTACCCCAGCTCACCACTTGTGGAACCTGCTGTACACTAGCACCACCTACTGGTAATACTAGGGAATTGCTTTCCTGACCACTTGCCGTCCAATGAAAGGTCACTTATGAGCTGCCACTTCCAATTGAAGAGAGTTCACATCAAACAAGTGGTAGACTGAACAACAGCATGAAGGGGCTACAAGCTGCATTGTCCATATATGGGGCTTTAACTCAACACAAGTTTCGTATTTTGGTATGAATTTGGTTCTCATCACAATGAGCTCAGTGTTTCCAGCTTTGGATAGTGGAATCTGGTTCATGATCTTCCTCCCACACAGCTCTGTTCACTCCTCGCCTTCAGCACTTGTGCAGTTGCAGTGTTGAGGGTCCCACACAGCTTGACATCAATCCTGACCTGTAATAGTCCCTGATCTTCCAATCTAACATTCCCTCACAGCTATGCCAGCCTGGATGTGCAGCAGCCCCAGCTATTCCAGTTTGCAGCCCCCTCGCAACTGTGTCTGTGCACCTCAATCTGGACATTCAGCACCTTTTCCGTTCCAGTCTTGGGTCGACACACAATGCTGCCACTGCATTTCAATCCTGATTCATTCTACCCTTGTTTCTCCAGTCCTGAACCTCTCCTGGGCAAAGGATGCCAGGAGTGAATAATTGTGTGATGTTTGTGATGTGGACAAATACCTGTTGATTAATTGATTGAGATCCACCAGTTCCTTTACACTTGTACCCCAAGTCAGGATTTGAACTCATACCTACATAGATGAAAGGTGAATAACTGTGGAGCGTCATGTTATTGCTAACTGCTGCTTTCAAACTTACGTTCTCAGGTAAGAAATGAAATTCTCACCTCAGTGACTGCAACACCTCTATGTACTTCTAAGGAACCTTTCTTTCCTCACCCAAACAAACAATCTTACCTTGCCTTCCAGGATTTTTCAAATTCCTAGGGAACCACTCAGCAAGGATCCAGCGCTTGTTAGCGGATGGCACTGTCAGCCAGGCCTAGTCTTGAAGGGAGACCTCCCTTCCATCAGCAGTGCTGGAATTCAAACCTCAGTGCCTCCCAGAGCAAACCCCATGTTGCTGCCTTAAAATGCACTAATAAAGAAATCAAGGGAACGAAAGAGACATGCCTGTAATAAACAGAACACAGCAACCCTGTGATCCCCTGCCTTGCAGATGCATTTTAAGAACGGCGCCAATCACTGGGCCTCCATGTGAGCTATTACACCACTTCATTAATTCTCCTGGCATGGGGCCCAGCATGGCTGATACTGGTGCCTTGTGATGTGTCTGGGTTGGGGATGAAAGAAAGGAGAGAGGAAGGAATATATAATGGCATGCCACATATTCACAAAGAAAGGCAGTAGATTTCTGGCTGCCGTTCCCTTGTAGAATTCAGTAACCAGTATCAGAGCTTTTCAAGGCAACAGTTTTACCTTCACTTGCTCCACAGTGTGTGTCTGGTGTTTTCGGCCATTGCGAAAATACAAAAAATGGCTGAATTGTGGCTGAGTTATTGCGCTTTAACGAGTGGCTTCTTCAGGCATCCAGATGCAGATAATTTGCAGGGGTGGGGGGGTTGTCTGTGCTGTGAACATGGATAATGGCATGAAACTGTAACATTCTCACACAAAGAGTCTCCAGGTACTTCAGTCAGTAGAAGCATGAGGATCAGATGGCATTCATCAATGTGGTGAAGCTAACTTTCTAATGATGTGGCATAAGGATTTGAGTGTGCAGTCACAGACCCTTATTCGATGCAGGTTAAGCTTCCTAGTATGACATATAATTTGGATGCATTTCAGGTCAACAAGCTCTGATTGGCATCAGAGGCAACATTACACGGCTCTGAATGTTACCTTCATGTAGCTGCTGCTATTTAATATTCCATGTCTCAGTTTTACTGTTTGATGGGAATTACTCATTGGATCAGCACAGATTGTTTTCTGTAGCACTGATGGCTACAGATAAAAATGTCCCTGAAGGAAATGATAAAAGTGCATTCTGATTGTGTTAATGTGTGTCGGAGGACATGGAAGAGGAGTGGGGAGGTGGACTAGCTGTTTCATTGACATAATTTGTCACTAACTGACTATGTGTTAGGCTTTGGTTGTAATAAATCCGCATTACTAGAAACTTGTATCTCAAATCCTCATGCACAATGCAAAGGAATAACTGACACGTGTCCCTAGACCCCTGAGACAAGGAGGAACAATGCTTAGGGTCTGCAGGGATGGTAGTGACACTGGCAACACAACTTGCTGCAGAAATTGTACAACAAGGCAAGTGTTCTTCTGGAGAAACAGTCCCTCAAGTGCAGAAGTAACACAGCAAATCTTTGCATTCCTCCGAGAGCTGGGAAGGCCTATGAGCAGACAGCAGACAGCTGGTGGAGCTGGGGACTTGTGGGATGCAGCTTTTATTAGTTCACATTTCTTCATCTCTTCCTGGTCTTTACCCTTCCAGGCAAAGAAAACCAAGGCAATTAAATACTGGGAAGCTCTCTCATCCCTCTCAGTCATTTCTTCACTGTGTGCTTTGTTGTGATATTGTAGAATGGTAAATGTAACTCAATGCATTTGTCTGTCCCTAGCTCAGAGGAATGATTGGTTTATGGTTAAAGCACTGTACTGAGACTCAGAAGATCTGGGTTCTATTCCTTGCTCTACCACAGACTTCCTATGGGACCTTGGGCAAGTCACTTAATCTCTTTATGCTCTGGTTCCCCATCTATAAAAGGAGATGATACTACTTGCTGTCTCTCACCCCCTGTCTGTCTTATCTACTTAGCTTGTGAGTTCTACAGGGCAGGGACTATCCCTTGCTGTGGTTATGTAACATGCCTTGAATAATGATGCCCCAATCTTGGTTGGGGTCTATACGTGCTACCGTAGTACACATTATAATAATTTCTACAGAAATCTCAGAAAAGGTATGAGGAGGATGGGGGATTCTCTGGGACCCTAACCCATCTCAAGATCTTAGAGGGGCAGTCTGAAAAATGGAAGGAATAAAAGGAGACGTTGTCAAGGTATGACTGTGGAGAGTTCGTAATCATCTTTCCTGATTTCCAGTTGTTTCTTGTGCTGTTTTAGAAGCCTGGAAATCATCTCCCCTCCCCCTTCCCAATTCTTATCCCAGCTTAGAAAAACTCAGTCCCTGACGGAAAGGGATTGCTGCAGGCAGCTGGGTGATTGAGAATTCAGCAGCAGTGTTAGTTAGTCTCTGTGCTGACTAGCTCCAAATCTCTGTGCCCAAAATGAACAGTAGCTAAGGTAAAGCAGCTGACACATAAATGTGGCTTGCCCCAACACCTGAAGAAGCAGTCAGTACAGAAACTTATGCTCCTGTTGACGGGTCCTCAATGAACTGGCTGTATGAAGCAGTCCCCTTCCTTCACTATCTCCAAGGGGACTCCCTGCCCTAATCCAAAAAGCTACATGGATGTGGTAAGAATGATGATGATGATGATTGTCTCTCATTTTATTTAGAATGAGAAAAGAAGTCTTGCACCAGTCACTTTATAATGGAGGAAGAAAGAGCAGCCACTTCAAACCCCAGCTCAGCCAATGCCTCTTCTCCACAGCACTCCTTCGAGACATTTCCCAGTACCCCTTCAGGCCCACAGACTCCCTGGATCTATCAAATAAGCATGTCTGCTCAATAAGGATGATTATCAGTTGAGTTTAGGCACAGGGTGTGTTCTCTTTATCTTCAGAAATCAAGGTAGTGCTTGATTGCACAAGGCCACAGCAGAAATTCCAGATTCCCCAATACCTATCTTTGGTGCCTGACCACACCCCTTGCAAGGCAGTAGTTCAAGAC